CGATGGCTGTGTACTATGCCAGACCAGAGTCAAGGCATAGTAACTCCTAAAAAAAAAAAAAAAAAAAAAAAAGAGTTCACATCATTTACTGAGTTTACTGTGCAGTGTGAACTCATTTTTTTCGAGAGGGAAGTCAACTTATTTATTAATATATATGCATTAATAAAAATGCCTTAACATTTTATGTATTTTTATATATAAAATAATAACAGAAACAAAAAGAAAATGTACAAATCTATATCAACGTCACAGCAGAATTCAATTTTGCATTTTCTCACATCATGCGTTATTTGTGGCACGTGTTTCACATTTCTGTTAGAAATGAGTGTCCAAAAGCTAACAATGCTTATACTGAAGGAAAAATACAAACTTGTGTCTGAATTTGAATGTAAGAATACTTTGCAAGTCGAATTTTCAAAACAAAAAAACCTTCCAAGAACAACATTGGTGGGAATCCTGAAGAAAAAAAAGAGGAAATTAAGAAACTTTTTATTGATTTCCTCTTTTTTTTTTTTTTTTTATGGCTGTCTCGAAAATGCCACAGAAAGTTGCTGTACAAAGATATTGAAGATGCTCTGGTACGTTGGCTAAAACAAATTCATTCATTGAATCTTCCCATTTCGGGACCAATACTGAAACAAAAGGCGATGGGAATTGTTGGGGAACTTGGAAACCAACTTTAGTGTCAGTGATGGATGGCCAGAGAAGTACATTGCACCAGTGCCGTAACTAGCCATTCCTGTGCCCTGTGAAGGACTTTGCATTTAGGCCCCTTAATTAATTAGGTTTGGGAAAATAATAAAACAAATACATGCATTTTGGGTCCCCCTTCCAAGTGGGCCCTGTGTGGGTGCACTTGTTGCACCTGCCTAGTTACAGCACTGCATTGCACTACTACTGTTCTGCATTGCACTACTGTATTTTCCTAATTGTAGTTTTGTGGTGTTTTCTACTTTGCTTTAGTTGTCATATCGGATAACTCAACACATTTCCACTTCCCCTAGAGGTGTCGACTTATGCAGACTTGACTGTATTTCCCTGAAAATTTACATCATAATCTGAAAATAATTAAATTGATAAATACTGATTTCCAATTACAATCAAAAGTGATATAAAATATGTTCAGAAATGGCATTGTGTTTGCACCATGTGCAATCTATATATGGATATTGTGGGGTAACATTAACTGTAAAGTATAACAATTATTTAGCAGTATTATCATCATAGATATTAGTAGCAATTGTTAATTTTTTTGGTTACATATTTTGCAACAGAATCCAAATCTATCTGAGCAAGACCATGGTCTGGTGATGGTGCAATGGATACCAAATTTGTCCAAAGTAGACAACAGACAGTAACAGTTTCTGTTGGTTGAAGGTTTCATCCATACAGAGATTCATCAATAGATGATTGCAATTGATAGTGATGACTGCATGTCCAAAATGATGGTTGTGTGCACATAAGATTATTACAGAGATGCCACACACAGGCAACACTAAATTGTGATCATTCATCAATGAATCTCTGTAAGGCTGAAACCTTCAACAGACAAACTGTATCACTGCCTATTAGTCTACTTTGGATGTATTTGGAGATTGTTGCACCATCACTAAACTATGGTCTCATTTAGACAGAAATGGGTTCTATAGCAAAATTATACTATCACCTATGACAACTATACTTTAAACCATCATCATACTCTACAGTTAATGTTAAACAAGTCACAATACCCACATATAGATTGCATAAGATGCAAGCATGACCTTTTTTAAATGTGCCTTAAAATTAAAATTCATTAACTTGCAAGTACTGGTTAGGTTAACTAGAAATAAAACATACATAGGTATTCTGAATGATCAACATATTCTTCAACAATCATTTTATTTACAGAATTTTTTATATTTGTCTTATTTAAGTTTTAAAAATGTTTGTAAAAAATGACTATATTTGTCATGTATATATTTTTACATTTTGTTTAATATATTTAAGTATCCTTTCCATTTCAACAGATTTTTGTTATATTGGAAAAAGGTCTCTTTTATCCTTTACAAGATTATTATTTCTTAAATTTATAATAATTATTTTAAAAGATTAATAAAAACAACTTACTAATTGAACATCAGGATGCCATGCAACAGGATTTTTAATTTCAGCAAATTCCAAACCCAGAAGTTCCTAAATTATATTATTCAAAGATTAATCATAATTTTATATCCATAAAAATAAACTAATGAATAAATCTACATAGTTTTTAAATAAAATTAAACAGTAAATTTATGTATTAGTAAACAAAATTTAATCAAGTGTAATTTGGTAGTAGTTCTCATTTAATGTTTATTTCTTTATTTTTCCCACAAGTTTATGGCACAAAATTCACATGGCCTATTTTTGATTAAAATGCATATTTTTTTAATCTCTCTCCAGTCTATGGGCAATATTTTGATGGATCAAACAGCTTTCTGCCCTCTTGACACCAGGTGGTGATGAATAGGGCTCAACATATCTGGAAAAGATCATTCCTCTGAAAAATTCCTGGGGGTTTTTTGACTTGTCTAGTTTGTTTGTTTGTTAAGTTATGGTAACGCTACATTTGAGTGATCTGCCTGGGAGGATGCCTTCTGGGAGGTCTTTTTAAGGGAAACTGGCCCCTATTTAGGAGTTACAGACATGGAGAAAACCTGGAAAACTCCATGTGGCCAGCCTGTCCGAGTGAGGCATGAACCCACGACCAAACTCCCAGTGTTCACGGTACGAAGACTGCTCGGCCACTGGTGGGCTTTGACTTGTCTAGATTTAACCTGGATCCAGAGCGTGGTAAGCTGCCACCTTAACTGCTTGGCCATTCGTCCACTGCGTTGTACTCATTAGTAAAGGTTTGCTTATCCAATAAGTTTTTATTACTAAAGTAAAATTTTACATTTCAAATTTTGAAATTCAGATAAATTGTTGAATGGCAGCATTTAACAAAACTGTTCTTTGTACTTTGTACTTGTTATATATACTGACAACTACATTACTTAAATGATTTAATAATATTTAAATAACTATATATCTCATTAAAATCCTATTAAAATTTATATAAATTTAATTTTCAAAAATGTGTTTCCAAAGTTAATGAAACACATTACAACTTAAACAATTGATCTCAGTCTAAATTATAGATTAAATTTCATATAATATGTTTATTGTAAATATATATTTACAATAAACATACTGTTCTAAATATTTGGGTTGTTGTCTGTATACAGACTTATAAAGGTTATATCTAAATTTAAATAAATCTGGAATTGAAGGCTTGCTCAGGGTCTGGGGTGGCACAACTGGCAAGCAGAGGTTGCAGGTTCAAGCCCCACCAGTTCTTTTCTTTCAGATGATTCTAAATTATTTAATAAATTATTAAAATTATAATTATTAATTTAGTTGAGATGGCACCTAATGTCCACCTCTAGTAGAAAATCACTTAGTATTAATCATTTAATTAGCAGAGTTATAGCCCAATTATTTAAGGTAAATCATTTGATTAAGTTTATACAGATTTACATGCACATTCTATAGGACCTATTCTAATAAAGTGAGGATCAGACATTTGGGTCACCAATTCAAACAAACTTGTAGCCCTAAACACAAAACTCCTTGTCCAAATAATAAAACTCACTTCTCAAGCATTTTCAAAAAATAGGTCTCTGAAAATTGAGTGTTTAGCTTTATAAGTCTTTATGAGTGTAAATTGAGTGTTTAGCTTTAATTATAAAAGTCTTTGGAAGTTGATGACTTATTATAATAAAAATAATAGCCAAGTAGATATGACACTAGGCATTGGAGCTACATGTATATTTGAACTTTTGCAATTTTAGTTTTTTTTTTTTAAATTTGTAACAAAATTATATTATTATTTTACCATATAATTATCATTAGCATTATTATTATTATTCCTCACATTTATAACACAACTTATAAAAACAGAAGATTAAAAAATTCTGATGGCATTTCCTGTTTAGCAGAAAAGAAGTCTCTCTGAATTTAACTCTTTTGTTCTTAAATAAAATTTTTATTTCTTCATATTTCTAGATATGATGGTTTTGTTATAAAAAGAGCCCTCTATAGTGCCCAGATGTAAACAATTTTAAAAAAATCATATTTACTTATGATGAAAGACTATATTGTTTCCATTTCATATGGAGAAAAACAAAAAAAGAAATTTTTACAACTATATATAATTAAAATGAATCTTAGTTTTTAGTAATCTGCTTTGCTATCTTAGAAAACTATATATGAACAAACAGCAACTCATTGAGCTTCTGTTTGTTCATGTTTGTTGTTTGTTTGATTTTAATAGAAATATAGTTTACATGTTTATTTGTAAAAACATTTCTTACTTGGTAAATATTCAATAATCCTTTAGTTACAGTAGGCAATGGAAAATATTCACGTAATTTATTCTGATCAACAGAGTATTTGATTTCTTCCACCAAATTATTATAATAGCGAAGTTCTGAAGGATGTAGCTTATCTTCGAAAGGAATGTCTAGTTTATTGCACTACCAATATAAATTACAGAAAAATATACATAAATCATTTTATACATTCAAATTATATTTAGAATGATGGCTTTTATATTTTATTATACAACAATAATATACCATCCAATAAAATCATACCTCTTTGTTTTTAAGTTCCATTATAAACTTTCTTTCTTCTTTCCAGAGAGGTTCTAATTTTGATGCTAAAGTAGTTAAAAAATTATAAACAGTTTTTGCAGTTTTAGCCATTCTCAAATCTGTTATAAAAGCTACATGATTAGGAAATCCAAGTAATAATGCTGTCTAAAAGTAAAACTTTGTTAAATTCAAGTAATAAATGATTAAAATGAGATATGAAATTATTACAACCTCGTGTCGTAATTCAGCCAGTTTTTCTAAAATGGTACTGTTTTCATCAATACACCTAAACAATTTTTAAATATTGCTAATTGTAAACCTATACACAGTAATTAAACTGATAATTTTATTATAAAACATATCAATAAAAGTAATATTTACCTTGAATTAAATGCATATTCCAATTTTTTTCTTGTTTCAGGGTTTTTTGCTTTCCCCATGATTGAAAAGTAATGAGGATACTTCAATGTAACTTTTCTTTTACCTGTTTCACTCTAGAATAAAGATTATGTAGTTATATACAATACTTTTATATGTGGATTCTAAATTATTCATTTATAAAATTACAGAATGTAATGAAATTTGGTTTTTAGATTTCTGATGAGATTGTCCTGTTATCGTGCAGAGATTTGTTTTATTAATTAAATAAATGAAGATACTGTCAAAAATTTCTTCTTCTAATTTAATATAACACAATTTTCATACCTTCGTCAAGTTTTCAATAAAATCTGCGGGTAGTCCATCTAATTCTTCCTCTGAAAATTCCAAAATAGTATTCTCTTCATTCACATTTTTGATAAATTCAACACAATAATTGCTTATTTCAGTTTTTAAAGATTTTATTTTTGCTTGAACAGTTGGAGACAAATGTAATCCTAACAAAATAATAAATTATATTATAAAAGAAAAATATGGCTTACTTAATTTTACAAAATTCATTTATTCACTTTATTTTATGTGCTTTTCTTTGTTTCCAGAATAAAATATTTGACTAGCATTAATTTTTGAAATGTGTAAATTTCTGGAAATATAAGAGATGATACCTAATGCTTGCATCTAGTGCCAAATTACTTAGCATTTAATTAATAATAGTAGTAGTAATATAGCCTAATATAATTCAGCAATTGTTTGGCTTTAATATATAATTATCATGTTTGGATGTTTATATTTCTATTTAAAATATAATGTTCTATTTCCATCGAGCTCTTGCAGTTCAATAAAAATTATATTTTATATCAAAAAATTATATTTTAGTTAGTAGTGTAATGCATTAAATAAAAAGACATATGTCTTGTTATATTTTTTACATTATTGAAATTTTAAATAATTACCATTTCTCTTTCCTAATTTTATTAATTTTTGTAGATATCGGCTATATTCTGAATCTAATGTTTCATTCTTTGCTTCAAGTAGTAGCAATTTATTAAAGATGTCTTGTCGCATACTGTAAATACCAAATAAGTTTAATTAAATATTTAAAAATAAATTGAAGATGCATACTTTATATTATCTCTCACCCTATTTCAATGTGAAATTCCCTTAATTTACGATCAGCTTCACTGCCTGCATCTCTAAGTGCTTTATCAGTTGACACATGTTTTGGAAGTTCATATAAAGCACCCTCAGTTTGCTTTTCAGCTTCTGCATAATTTAAAGGCTAGAAGAAAAATTAATAGAAATTTATATATACATATATAGTTGACCAGATGAATGAGCAATTAAGATACTTCTCTTGGCGAGTCAGACTAAAATCCAGACAGGTTTTTTTTTCTTATAATTCTTTGCACTCTGAGGGCACTAAGAGGGCATTTTTCTTACAAGCCCATTATGAATTTGGCCAGGCCCATAATGGAGCAGCGAGATAGTGAAGAATGGGCATATCTACTATAAACAATTCTTGGGGTTTTTCAACTTGTCTGGAGCTGATCTTTGTTATCTCAGAGTGGTAGGCAGCCATCTCTAACCACTCAGTCATCTGGTTGTTCATTTCAGATAGGTAAAATAACACTAGGAATTTTTTGGGATGATTCATCTAGTTATTTCAGGTCCTTCTCACCACCCAGCTGTACTATTGTGGGCCTGGCCAATATGAGCTACCTACAAGAGGTTTTCTCAGTTTGCTCAAGGCAGAATTAAAAAACAAAATAGATAAGTATATTTTAATATTACTAAGTAGCCCAACAATTCAATTAATGTTAACATGCTTAAAATTAAAATTTAAAAAATTAATGAAATTACTAAAAAAACATAATAAATTTAAATTTGATTATCTTTTGTGTAAAATAACACTAAAACAATTTTTATAGTTATGTTGCAAAATAAAAATGGAGTCGCAATTAATTTAAAAAATTGTAGTTAAGGGTTCAAAAATGCAGTAAAGTTAAATAAGTTATTATTAAAAATAATTACAAAAACTAAAACTAAATTAATAATTAAAAATAAAAATGGTCTTTACACTGAAACCAAAATTAATAATAAAATCAAAACTAATTAAAATCAAATGAATTGAAAAATAAAATGCTTTTAAAAACTGTATAAAAGTTGTTTTGAAATTTTCAAATTGTAAATCAAATTGATTTTTAAATTTATGTTATTTGTGTATGGCAGTGATGGAACATTTTGCTTTTAATATATGAGCCATTGATTTTGAAAGTGGGACAAGTCCATTTTGTGAAAAAATAGTTAAAGCTAATTTTTATTACAAATTAACATAAAATTTATCATTTTTAATCAGTTCACAATAATTGTCTTTTAATATCAGTATATATTTGTTACTTATTATACAGTAATTTATACAGTCGATATTTATTGTGTGTTGATTTTGAAAGTTAGGCAAGACCATTCTAAAGAAAAATATATGATGGATTTATTACTCTCTGTACTACCCATTCATCATAAATACTTAAAAATCTGCACCATCTAAACTAAGAAATATAATTATATGCATGCAACTTATTACTGAATATTTTTTCATATTAAATTTATCCACTTTTTCCTATAAAATTAAATTTATTTTTGTTTTATTGTAGCTTTTTGAAAGTAGTATGAAATGTTGAAATAAAATAAGTAAAAAATTGAATATTGTATTTATTTACTTATTATAATTACATTCCATTCAAAGAAAAATCAATGTTTTCAAGAAATCATTGGTTTTGAAAGTGAGGCAAGTCCATTGGTGCATACCAAAACCATGATTTTTTTTACATAACACATATATCCATTACTGCATATTAAATTTACAAGAAATAAGACCAAAAAATTATAAAAATAAGTCTATTACCCTTTACGAATATTTTTAAACCCATTCAAATGCAAACCAATAAATATCTAGCAACAACATAACATAGATTTGCACCACTTTCAAAATCAATGGCTCATATATACAGATAAAAACTATTAAAAACAATATAAACTAAAACTAAATTTGTATATCTGTATTTAACCAAATGTTATTATTCCATTAAAAAATAGTTGCTATGGGGGCAAAGAAATAGCTGTCTCTTTAACACCAAGTCTGAATCAAAAGTCTTGTCTCTCCTATCCCTATGCAAAAACTTTCCTTCTACTTTGTTAACCATTTCCACGAATTCATGCCGAGTCTGCAGAGGAAGTTAATGGGTGGTTCTTTCAAAGGACAAATTGTAGACTCCACAGGCGATCTGGTGTGACCTATTTACAAGTACTACTTTGTAAAGTGTTGGTTTCAGTTTTGGTGGGATGGAACATTTTGCTTTTAATATACAGTATATGCAGATTTACAGAAGTTTTAGTGTATTGACAATCCTGTGCAATAAATGCATTTCAGTAAATAAAATCATAGATGATACAATTCCCATCATGAGCATATTTAGTTCCTCTTTGTAAAGATAAAAACACTAAAATACTGTTTTAGGATATGGTTCCAAGTTTTTTTAAATTTTAAATTGTCAACAACTTTAGCAAATCATTCAACATTTTGGAAAGCAAGTGTTAGAAAATTATATGAGGACTTGTTGTAATTATTTTTGAATAATTAGAAAAGACATAAAAGATTATGTGACAGAATTTTTAGTTCTTCCTGAAAAGAGGAAAACACTATAATATTAATAAAATTCCAAAACATTTTGGTTTAAAATTTTTGTTAATCTTCAAAAATCATTCAGTAGCATATGAAATGATACCCAGGAGTTCTATCTCATGAAAAACTGCTTCAATTCTTTAATCTTTCAGTGTTTTTTTAAATAAAGATAGGATGATGCTGATCTCTAGGGAGAGCAAGGAGAGAATCTTGTTCAAAATTGTGTACTAAAATTGTATTTTTTCAGCAACATTGCAGCTCTGAATAAGACTGCTGGGACGTTATCAGAGCTGTAGATTCATACCCATAGGAATAAAAAAAAAATGTCAAAAGGAACCAATGGTTTACACGTGACCCTTCACAAGGTATAGCAATGAATCTGGGCTACTTGCTAAACACGCAGTATGTTTAACAGTGTGATGATATGCATCAGTGGTTTAGCAAATATAAATTTCACCCGGGGCATGATAGGCCCCCTTACACCTCTCACTATGCTAGTGACATGCATGACTATGGTTACAGCCTGGTATTAGTGCAACAGTTATCTCATATTTTACAATCTTTCAGCCATCTCTAGTAAAGTGTGAAACAGTTGATTCTTAGCATTATTTTCAGAAATAGTTCTGAGTTTTTTTCACTTTTAAACTTTATCTCAATTCTGAGTGTCTTCAAAACTCCAGATAAGCTTATTTCGGGTGGGATACATTCACAGAGTCACACATAGACAATAGATTCCTTTTGACTTTTTTTACTCCTGTGGGTACAGTTTACAGCTCCGATAAGATCCCTTCCCCTTTCAGAGCTGCAATTTTACCATATTTTTCAATATATTAAGATTAAGTTATGAATTTCCTTTGGTATGTACTTTACCTCGAGAACAGTTTTACAAGAAACTTGATCATTACTTAAAGCACCAACTTTATCATATGTTTTACGTAGTCTGTCGATTAAATCGTCGGTTCTCTTCAGTAGTTCTTCAGCGCTTAATTTTAAATCGTAACAAAATTTAATTCCCTGTGGAGTCATATTAATCCTACTTAAATGACAAGAACGAAATGAAAATAAATAAACTGATGATTCGGGATTAAATTTCCAATGACTATTAACACATGTAAATCTTTTGGATTTCTTGCAAATATTCGATAAGAAATTAAAATTATTTCTGCACAGACGTAAGACGGTTATCATTCAGACGAAACCTTGTTTAATATTTCGCTTCTTCATATAATAATTAAGATAAGTAAAATCAACTTATTACTGAACGACTCACACCGGCACGAAACGTTGGTTGATAACCACATTGACCGGTGAGATCGCAGCAACTCGTACGAAAAAATGTTAGTGACATATTAAAAATAAGTCAAAGAAAATAAAAATGTAAGGTTAAAAACTATTTATATTTTCATGCACTGTATTGTAGAAATACATTTTATTAAATCATTTTGTAATTTATAAAACAGATAAATCCAACTTAAAACAAAAGTTTTACATTCATTTTTATTTTACTTTATCTTCAGTGGAAAGTTTGTTTAATTTCTTGTACATTTCAAATTTTTGATAAGTTATTTCTAATCAATAAAAAAATTCTTAGCGTCTATCTACATGATGTATTTCCTTTTTAAAAACTAAACATTGTAAACATAATGAGCAATGTACCATAGATTTTCTTTAGTTTCTATGATTTTATTATGTAATACTATCTNTCCCATTGTGGGCCTTAGTGCCCACTGGGGGAAAGAATTAAAAAAAGACTAACTAGCAGACGTGCGGCGCAAACACGCTGCTAATATACACAGTACTGTAAATCATTTACAGTAAATGATATACTGTAACTTAGTCTGTGTTAAATGCCTATTATGTTTTAATGTGGGTTGTATTTGTTATCGTTACAGGTTAGTTAAATAATTGTGAGGATTTTTAGGAATCAATAAATAAAATCGTCCATAAATTACGTAAAGCTATTTTTATAATTTTCAACTACAGTCCCTTCCTCCCGCAACACCGTTGCACCTATCCATTCCTAAAATTATGCATATCCTCAAACCCTCACAACTGTACTAAGGATACTCGGTATTCTGCGTAATTGTACGTAACATGAAATACCGAACACTACATTATTTTGTTAATTGTAATGTACTGTACCGTTGACGTTAACAGTATAGTTCGCTAATGTAACACTCTAGAAAAAGAAAATCATGTACCCAAGAATTTAGATCCTAGTATTGTATAACATTTTTGTAAACATCTTATCTCATAACGCACGGTAAATATTATTTGTAGTTACGTAATTTATGAACATGTTTAAAAAACAAGGAAAAATTAAAATTGAGTTGATTGGCTACGTGCGAGACGGATACTTAGAATAAATATTTATGAAATGTAAACATTTTTAATTGAAAATTACTTCAAATATGCCGCCATTTTTATCGCCCAGAAAAAAAAATCAAATTTTCATCCCAAACAACTATAAACACGAAAATAATTAGGAAAATATTTAATAAATATACAACCACTCTCAAAATATATGGGAATTACAGCGAACTGTTAACTCAAAAATGTACTGTAAGTACATTTTGAGTTAAAAGTTCGCTGTAAAAGTTGAGTTAAATATCCAGCACTTTCGGTTTGCTAGAGAGTGATGTTAAACCTGTATGATTGGCAGAGTTTAGATCACGTGTTGTAGATGAAACTCTGATTCTGATTGGTTATGTGTGACATTTTTCGATTATTATTCCTTTATACACAGTTTATGTAGATATCAATACTCGTGGAATTGAAATCACGTGGGTTGAAAAGACCATTGGCGTCCTAGAAATAATTATTTAACTTTTTGCTTTTAAGGACAATGCGCAATAATCACGAAACATCGAATGCCGATTTCGTTTTCTATTTTACAGAAGGGATTATCAAATTCTCGGTCCTCAATATCCCCAAGAATATGAAAAGCGGGTGTACCAATATCGGAGAGGAAACGAGGTGTATCGGTACAGTTTAATCCATGGATGGAGAATCGGAGTCCGTATTCGAATAGTTAAATCTTTTTACAAAAGTCGGGATTAGGAGTCGATTTTTTAAAAAATACCCACTCGGGAGTGATGCATTTTTCAGCCGACTCTCCCTGGTTTAATCTATACTTTAAAGTAGGAAAACTTTTTTTTTTTTTTTGTAAATTCCTAAAACCTCTAACTCTCTTAACTTTTCCACGTAATCTATAAAATTCTCTTTACTTTTTAAATTTATTACTTCCCAGAACATAAACAATTTATATTCTGATTTATTAGAAGTAATTTCTTACTTTATGTTGTACTTTTGCATCGTATTTCTAGTTTTAGTTTCTACTATTTATGAGTCATTAAAGCAAATCGACACTTGTAAAAAATCATATTAAATATTCAAGAACATAAACTAAATTCTTTCATGCAAGCAATATATAATAAAACTTTTGTCTGGAAGATATAAAAATCATGTACTGTATTTAGAAATTTTATGTCGAAATGTCTATCCTCGTTTACAGGACCCCAAATCTGCTTCGAATTAACGTAGATTTTTCATAAACCAATAATGTAATAATGAAGTTTGTGGAGGAAGTTTCAGTTTTCGAAAATTGTAAATCTTTAAACTGAACCCTGCGATTTTAATTAATAGCTATGTGAAATCTTCAAAAACATTCTTCTGAACTATTTCACACTTTGAAATAATGACTTCTCAGATCTTTGAAGTGGAAGTGATGATAATTGTTGGTAGAAAGTTAATTTGTTAGTTAATTTAAGTTTTAATGGGATTTGCTGGAGCCTGCATGGATTATGCTACCAAATATGATTTTTTTCTGAATTGAGACAGATGTATTTAAGAGTTCGCGCTAATTGGGTCTTCAAGAGTACATATATACTCTCGGAAGCCATGATAATGCATACTCTTGGACATTCAAAAAAGTGTTAAGTCTAAGTATGTTTTACTTTTTCAGCTATACAAATAAGAGTATCAGGAGAAAAAGAAAGTTTCAAAGAAGCTCAAAAAATGAATACTCTATCAGATAATTCTACAAATTAGAATTTCAAGCTATTTGATTACAATTTGTTTCCATACCATTTGTTATATATTTTGTCTACGAGGACTTAGCCTACTAGTAGGACACTGGGGTTTTGGCGAGGAAAAAATCTTATTCAGGGAAACAAACAATCTTTGTTGATCACCTTGTATTGTACCTGCTATGTTATAAAACCTGTATAAGGTTAAAAAACATTTATTAAATATAATATTTTAAAAAATTCACATGGATTACCGACAAATGACACAAACAATTACCATTTTTCCATCGATATGTAAATGAACACACTAAAAATATTCTTATCATCATACACAGAACTATGCCTTGCATTTGCATACAATGAATAACTTCGTTGTTGATTGGTTGATATGGAGTGTTCAGCACATATAGGCTATTTATTCTGAGAGAGCGAGGTTTTGAACGCTAGGCGTCCAATGAGCCGGCCTTATAGATGAGATGGCCATACGCGCGCGGGGGAAATAATGCCTTCCGGGAGGACTTTTATGGAAAACTGGCCACTATTCAAGCGTCAAATGATGTGGAGAAAACCCGGAAAACTCCATGCAGCAGGCCGGATGGCCGAGCGGTCAAGGTGACAGCCTACCGTTCTGGGGGACCCGGGTTCGGATCCGAACGGGTCGAAAAATCCCCAGGAATTTTTCGGAGGGTGGTCCGTTCGGATATGTTGGGCCCCGTCCCTCACCACCCGGCAGCCCCATTGTGGGCCTGGCCGAACCCATAATGGGCTTGCAAAAAGAGGCCCTCTTGGTGCCCACAGGGCGGAAAGAGTTTAAAAAAAAAACTGTACGCAATCAACCCGTCCGAGCGCGGCGTGAACCCACAACCGAGTTCAGGTTTAGATCCACCCCAAATAAGGGGACGAAGACCTCTCGGCCAGGAATAGCTTTTTTTTTATAATATAAAAATGAAATTTATTGCATAAAACAGTTTTCCGGCCGGTACTCCGGAGATACAGCATTTGTACAATAATTATTACATTATCAACTTGGTTAATTTTTTACACTTTCTGTACTGCCTATACGTAAAATACATTATACATTTTATGATATGAGTTCACAATTACGTTACTGTCATGAGTAATACAAGTATTCTTTTTCATTACCTTGGCTTGAAGCAGGACCATTTGTTACTGGGTTTTTTTTGAATTACAATAATATAATACTTTTTTTACATATATTCGGTTACAACTACTTACTTTTTGTGACCTAATACATAAAGTATCATATTTTAATACAGAGACTTTTGCAATTATTTCTGTGCGAGTAGGAGCTACCATCTCTTACAATTATTATCCCAGTCTCTGTCCATTTTTGGTGGTTCTTCCAATTATCAAAATTTGTATGATAGTACACAGTTTCGATTAATTGATTCAAGCTACTTATACATTTTTATAACGTTGTTGTTTGCGTGACCTTTGTAAAATACGCCGAATATCTACTCCTCCATATTGAGTCGATTACTAATGATTATCGAAATCATCTGCTCCGAGTATCTGTACATTTCTAGTCTACGTACTTCTCCAATAGTAAATGGAATATAAAGGCTACTTTTTTCCCTTAGGACTTTCCAAATTTTAGAGGTAAGGTCGCACTCAAATATTGCGTGCCGACTGGTTTCGGATTTGTTACAAATCAGGCACTTGCTGTTGTTTTGCAGGTTCTTATTCGTTTTCCATTCGTTCGTCTGAAGACAGCTGTGATAAATCCTCCAGTAAGTACTTTTTGCTCTGTTGAGGATCGGCAATTTGAATACAGTGTCTATTATTTTATTGTTTAACAATTGTTGGTCGAGCCCTATTACCTGGGGCTTGGCTATTAAAATATCTGCTAGCATCCAATAAAGTTTCTGGGGCTTCGTGGTAAAGATCGTCTCGTCATTAAAATAATTAGTTAGTTTATAGCAATGTATTACTTCTTTTAATAGCATTGATATTCTGTATCTTTTTTCTAATATTTCAGTGCTTACAATTAAGTTTGGAATTAACGGTTGCAATAGACTTTTCGTTATAGGTGTCCAGAGCGAGTATTTGTATAGGTTATTGATTAATAATTAAGGTAATTCTACTAACAATGGCTTTTAGAGATACGTCTATTAAGGCCAGACCCCCCATTTTTAGTGTCATTATGGATCGTCGATCTTCTTATCGGTTCGTAGCTAG